TCACTGAGAAAAATATAGAATATCATCCTCAGAAAATCACAAGCCACATTCCATTTCGATTGATCGACATAACATTGAACAAACTATGTAAATAACACCTACATAAAACATGTTTGTGAATTGTGGAGCCTTGTGAATCAACAATTAACAATGGGGAATGATCGTTGTCTAGGCTAGGTAACCAGTATCAACCTTATACTTTCAGCAAATAATTACTTAGATATGTAAATGATTTCTAATAAGCCATTAGTAGTTGATCAAAGAAAAACGCTACATGTGTATCATTTTTCCATCCCCAACAATCTCAACTTGTTATTGCTTAAAATTAAATTTGATTATTTTGTACTCTGCAACTCATGCTACTTACAAGTAATGTCAAACAGGTTTCAAAATTGACACGTCAGGATTTTTTTTATGAATTGAAAATATTAGTCGTATGTAGACAATGTTTTTTTTCCTCAAAGTGTGAGTAGGAATACGTTGTTTGAAGGAAGTTAATAAACTAATAAAAGAATGGTTCATTTTAACCATTTAATGGACAAAATGCCACAAATTCTCTTCATGTCCTTCTAACCAACAATTAGGAACGAACCAAATAAGATCTAAGTTGGAATGAATATGTTACTTAGTTTATTGGTAATGAACACAGTCAGGAACTTGGTATGTTGTTTTTTGTACTGTTTGGTGTGGCACTGTAAACTAGTTAGACATGTGAATTTCATGGGTTAACATATTGACGTGGTTTGTTTCATTGTAGAATCATTTTCCGGACCATTCCAATTAATGATGGAAAAAGTGCTCGTATATACAGGTCGAACAATTCAAATAGACGATTAAATGTTATGTATATATATTATGAAAATACTTTGTAGCTCCCTACAACGAGCTTTCTTTTCTCCTGCCTATCACCTTCTTACAATCGGAGTTATTTTGTAAACTACTTTAAATTCAAGTACTTCTACACTTCATATCTTCCCAACAGTCTGAATGATTTCACAATAATTTACAATGAAGCCATTTAAACAAAGTGAAGAGCGATAATTCATGCAGAATACGATAACTTAGATATACTTTCTCACGTTCTTATCTACACACATGGTAATCATTCTGGTTAGTTCAGAATTCTGATAAATATTAGCGAACTGTTTCAATCACATTCACAGTAAAACCAAGAAATAGATATGTTTCAGGTTGAAGATATGGTTGTATTTACAGAGGAACACTGAGTAATGAAATATTTAATTGAGTGAGTACATCCACTCACTTTTGAAAACAAGTTTCAGAAGACATTAATTTTCACGTGTATAACAGACGTGAGGTTTGTACATGCTCATAGGAGAAATAACTATTAATCTCTTTATGGATCAGGGTTGAAATAGTTAGGCTGCTAGTAAAGTTACAATGGAATCAAACCATAAGTTTTTCACTCTTAACATTTATTAATTGATGTATGAGAAAGAGCGCTCCTTCAAGTCATGCTGAGTTTGAAGAGGCGTTGTTAAATTACTTTTTATTCCTCATTATGTTATGCTACTTAATACTATAAAGTAGTACATACACTCTATTTGTGATCTAAATTACTTTACTCAAATTTACATTTATTACTCTCCACGTTTACCTTTTCCGTTAAAGCACAATCGAAAGATGTTGTTCCAACTGATCTGACTTTTTCATACATCTGGTTCCAATAATGATTTTTACAGAAACAAGGATACCAAGATTTCCAGAACAAAATGAATTTATTTTGTTCTCAGGTTTCTTGCAGGGTACAAAAAGCCTAGTTACTAAGAGAAATACATTTAGAAGTAAACATTTTAAATCCTTCAATTTTAGAAACTAGACAAAAAAAATAATTTTTAAAGTCTGAAACGGTTATTGGGAACAACTTTTACAAAGAAAAATTAAATAAGCTGATCTATATTTGTGAATTAGTTTGAAGGCCTTTGTGTTGTTCAGTATCTATTAATTATGATTGTGAATTTTCTTCTCCCTTCACGTATAGATTTCGAGTAATATGTTCAGAAAACGTGATGAAAATATTTTCTTTAGTTATTCCAATATAACTTGTCACACAAGTCCATATTAATTCATGTATGCAACCAGTGGATGACTTCAGAAGAATACTGATCTACTTTCTGTTTGGTATTCTAGAATTATTAAATGATAGACTTTCATTTACTTTTTAATACTTATCTTTGGCATCTTAATTTATTTTTCTGTTCAAGATACACCATACAACTTAACTCTCATTGACTTTTGATTTTACTGTAAATTTTAGCACCATAACTCATAGAAAGTTACTCAACGATGTTATATTCATAAACTTATGTTTGTGTTAATAACCACATTCCTATACATAAAAACTGAAAAGTGCATTTGTTCGTAATATGTGAATATTATCAACTACTTTTGTTTATATTATTGAACACTTTTATAAAGAAGAAATAATGACACTAAGCTTAGATCCCAGCTTTCAAATAACCCGATCACTCGTTTAAATTACAAGTATACTCATAATTTATCTATCATTCTTCCATGAACAGTCGTCTCATAAATCATCCATGTTTATCATGAAGATTACCAGTTGAATGGAAATTTATTAGTTCCTTATCATCCTGAACTTTAAAAATACGGTCGATCTAGAAAAATGAATACTTAGGTTTTCAAACAGTTTCATTTTAAAACTAAGGAACTGTTTTGAGTAATTTTCGAAGTTGATAAAATAATTTCATTTTAAAATAGGACCGTTCATGAACCGATTTGTACCGTTTATTTTAAATATATCCGACTGGTTGCACACAAAAATAGAAAATATTGGTTTCGATAGGTCAGTATATTTGTTCGTAGTTAAAATTAGATTATGAAGTTATTTTACTTAAATAATTGGATATGATATACAAGAGGTGCACTGGGTTTTGGTGCTTAACCTTATTATCTAAAAATAACCTCTACGTATTTATTAAAGTAACCAACTCTTTGGAAAGTGATGTCTATAAGTGTCGTATTTCAGATTATTTTTAACTCAGTATAAACAACCTAGGGCTGCTTATTCTTCGTGATACTTCATCTCCTTACTAAAACTACAGTTCAATGGGGATGAAGCTGACGGTATTCTCTAGTACTCGTAAATCATCAATACTCCAATATACAGTTGTCAACTTCGTAAAAGAAATTTGGCCATCTTGATAGTTTCGCATAATGAATATCTTTCCTCGTATTTATTACAGTTGTTTTGCAACCTTATCCCTATCTCATCATAAAAGTGCTGACATCCATATATATACATAACATTCATAAGTGGAGCCTACCTATCAAAAGTGAACCAGTCCTTGTTTATTCGTAATACGTATGACCATTAAAAATCATTATTCATCAGTGGTCAATGTACTGAAAGTCAGTAAACTCATTTCTGTATTCCTTAAATAGTTTATACAAACATAGTTTTTGTTAACATATGATTAGTTAGGTTATATATCTCATCTAAAATAAATAAAATCTGTGGATGTAGTTTGGGTACTGACATTACAAGCAATTAGTCATCTATTTTAGCCTGTTACGTCCGATATCTCTAATAATCACATAAAAAACATGTAACACAGTAGATTACTGAGATGCATGATTATTCATAAATCCAATGTAATTAAATAAGTGTGACAAAAAAGAAATCTCTCCTTTAAATTAAAACTACAATGTGAACAAATACACACCCCATCAAATAAAAGGTATGATTTACGCGAACTACATTTAGATGCTTCAGAAGGTATCGGAACTGATTTTTGCAAAATGGACCTTTGTATCCAAAAGGGACTTTTACAACACCACTCCCTATCCTGGCCATCAAAATAGGCTACACCAGAACGGGTTGAAACAAAACCTCCACTTGATATCAACCTTCTAACTACACTTTAAGATGAAAATTTATTCAAAAGTGCTAATATTCAGTAGATGCTTAAAAATTTGCTAGTGACTGATAACATCTAGTATGGCCTCGACAAAATAGAGCGATTGAAAGTCAAACACATAATAAATAAAACCTAGTCCTATTACTAATACACGCGCTGTCTTACACAGATCGATCACAAATGATTAGTGTGATGCTTCAGCCGTTATAATCCATATTGAGGATAGAATGCGATCATGTTTCATAACTCGCGTGATATCAAGAGAAAAAATGGTCTGTTCGAGAGAGCTTTCAACCCCTCGAGTACTGCACTTTAAAATGCCTATCTTAGCGAATACACAGAATCCTTTGATTTGTAAGCTTTGATTAGTGCTAAGAACTACAGTATCATATATTTTTTTTACAAAACCTGGTCATGCAAGAAATAATGTCAACATGACGATGAGCTTTAGTTTCTCATATTCCAACAAAGCACTGTGTGGGATTAAATTTTGAAGGAAGTATAAGTAACTTCGCTAATTAGCCCAATCGAAAAAAACACAAAACCGAGGCCCTGAACTTTTGGTTTAAAAATAACACCTATTACCTGCCGAAAAAGAAAACAGGAAGTAAAGAAAGAAGCTAGGAATGGATTATTTTACATCAACTTATGCAACTCGTGATGAAAACTTGTAAAATTACTTCACATTTTAAAACAAACAGAAAGTAGGAACATAAGAGAGAAACAAAAATCAGAATAAGAAAAATTAAACATGATAAGGCAAACAAAACAAACTGGAACTCATGAAATAAATAACAATTTCATATTATTACAAAAGGATTTTAGGTGCCTGGATACACTTATCCAAGTAGAAAAGGAAATAAACTAGCAGATATGGAATCACAGTAATGAGAAACAACTAGAATTAAATGGCATGTAAAGATGATATATTGCAAATGAGTTCAGTGAAAAGTGACACACGCATACACAGCTATTTAACAGCAACATTAAGAATAAAACAAACGATGAATACAAAGTCGAACCATATTAGACTTATTTTACAAAAAAACAATGAGATATCAACAATTAAAACAAAATACAAGAAATTATGAGTGGGTTTCAGCTAGCTAACTCATTAGCTGATGAATGGATACTTTCAGGTGACTTCTTTAAGTTACTGTTAGTGTTTATATCGTTAGGGACAGATAACTCAGATGTTGACTTGATGGATTCAGACGACTGATAGGCATGATCGGGATTTTTTAGATCAGAATCATTATGTTCAGACATCCCGCTTGTATCATCATGTTGTAATTGGTCGTAATAATTTTTTAAACGAACATGCCATGCAATACTTGATACAGCTGAAACAGATTTGAATTGATGTATAACATTTCGTGGGATAAAATATATATCATTATCACGAAGAGGCAGGCGAACATAACGAAAGCCTTCGGAATGTAGCTGATTAAGCTCACCATCATCCGCCCAAAATGACCCACACTGTTAAGATAAATTGATGAGGTAAACACTAGGATTACTGAGAGAACTAATTTATTAAATAATGTTGGAATTCCCTCGATTGCTTTTAAAATAAATCATAATTATATGAAAAACCATTAGAAAATTAAGCATGAATCGATGGCTATATTGTATTATTCTGAAATTTATTGAAACCTGAATCGACATTAACTGATTATTTGAAGTCTAGTCACATTCCTCAGTATTAACTAGATTGAACTTGATTTTCTGGTCTAGCACAAGAAAACAATTCCCAGTGACAACTAAGTGCTTTAAACCGATTCTAGAAATATTGATAACAAACATAAGATTGTGCTATACTGCTAGTTGATTGTGGTTGAATCCACCCGAACAAGTTTTACCGTGTGACAAATACATTAAATGGGACCAGGCATCAAATACTCTAACGTTTAGTGTCTTATCAAAGAGTAGTCTGTAAGGAACCATGGATAAACATTTCGTATTGACTAAGACTCTTCGTCTTGAAGAGGTTGAAATTGATGTCGTTTAGCATCAAAATCAAAGATGATTACTTAAGGTCATCCGAATAGACTAAATTGTCAGTTTGAGTCTTCTGGTTTATGAATATTCCTTGATAATAGATAATACGACAAACGCGAACAATAAATACAGAGGTTACTACCAAATACATAAAACTATTTAACGACTCACTGGTTCTTGTGGATAATCGATGGAAACTATGAGTATTTTATTATTTATTTATTTCAACACATAAACATCGGTACAAGAGGGCACCAAATATATATGCGCCACACCATATTTGTGTGTGGGCTGTGATACTGCCCGGGTACCCAAACCGAAGCATGTAGTTTTCTTAGGGGGCCACACCCCGAGCCTTTGACCTAAAGGTCTGATCCACAAGGCAGTGGAGCATCGTGAGGAGATGCATTCCCATGGTAGCCGATGACCAACGATAGGTTCATACGCCGTTTGTTCCCGAAGGATACTGGAGCCCATGTGCACCATTGGTTTGGGATCCGGTTAAAGCGCCGGACATTCGCTTTTCGTCCTCTCATTTCCGTAAACAACACCCCCTCCACGAGAAGGCAATGAGTAGGACTTCCCTGGCAGAGGCTGTATACGCGTGGCCGTGTGAGAGAATTTCGAGAGGGAGGGCGAACCCACCCCACTCTCGGCCATACCAGGGCATTTGGGGAGCAAACTATCAGTCATTCTAAATGAATCAGTACCAACACTGATTTAAGTTTGTGCCAAACAAATAGGGGAAAGTGTACAGTAGCTTGACAGCATCACAACACAGCAAGAACGATATCGTTAGTAATGTGACATGCATTCTATTAAGAATATCTACATTATCATTTTCAAGTATGTTCTTTAGTAACTGTTGAAGTGTATACCTCACAAGAATCTTTTTACTTCAAGACTATTCTTCATTCAGAAGTAACATTAATTAGGTATACTTTGTATTTTTAATAAATAAATACTTCGTTATTTAACCTTTATTCGCCCATGTGGGCTTTGTGGATTATACGGAATTATTGGATATGAATTTAATAACTAGAACTCCAGCTGCTTTTACTGTCGCGTGAGGAATACGTATTTACCCAGTCTTACTTTTTCCACCAGCGAACTTAGTTATAAAGTCACTACTATCCTAAAAGTTGGTGATCCCTTTAGGAAAAGCAGAAACCGGGGTGTAATGTAATAATTAATTGGTTTGTTATGTAAAATAAGAAAAAAAACAAACCTGGCTTGCGGGAGGTTCCATAATATCTAGGCGTAATCGTTCAATCAGATCAACATAATGACGTGGATCAAATACAACCACATCTTTGACTATTCTAGCAGGTTGGTTTAGTTTGTATGCGTATGGATTTGTGTTAGAATTTAAATCACCATTAGCATCCTCGAAATGAAGGGGACAGGAAGATGAATAGGGCAATTCTGATTCCTCTCCAGATCGATGGGGATACACCGCCTTTAGTAAACCTACAGCTGCTGTAGTATGACGAGACAGCCCATCGTCTGCGTGGTCAGCATGGCAATTAGTCCTGTCATGAACCGCTATCTGACGCCCACCAAGTGCGCGGCGACCAATAACCACGTCTGTAATACAACCATTGATAACACTGCCAAATAAACAAAATCCGACACAAGTTTATGAAGTGACATTCGAGCTGATTATATTAAATAGATGAGATACATTTTGAAATCCTAAACACTCAAAACCAAATACTTTCAGCTGATGTCTGTCTTCTACTCCCACTTCATTGTAGAAACTTTGATAGTTAATCAAACCTGTTTGTCATAAATTCTAGTTAACTTATATAAAGTCAGTCAGTCAGTTATCTACAAAGTAGGACTAGGCACATATATTCATCGGTCCAGGTTATCATACTTCATTAGCACAACTAGATGAACACCAAATTCATAGAAACAGTTACTGTAATGGTAGTTAAAAAAGGATTTCATATAAGGATATGATACAGAGAGAAAGAATTAGTTCATAAAAAGTAATAAAGTAATTTTCATCTCGCGGTTCAAGGGAAGACAAGGAGTGTATACACCTACGTCATTGTGATCGATTCTGAGCCATGTCATCCAACTACTGGTTACGACAGTAGCACAGACCCCAGCACTGGGAGTCCTGTGAAAACAAAATCACTGGATTAGAAACAGAAAGAGATGAAGATAACCGAAAGGGGGGATTTTCGCGATATTAGGAGTGCTGAGAGTAACCAATAATGTTTAACTACAGTGGATGCTGTTATCTCCCCGAAGTTAGTATTGGTTATTGTTGTTCGCCTGAAAATTTAATAAGCTACAGTAGAATGAAACAATCATTTTTGAAGTCCATCACAAAGACCTCATCAGTATTGTGACGAAATTGAGTTTCCAGTCAAATAAACATTACCTCGAGACGACAATATAAGGCAAAGTTGTCCGATCCCCTTGTTTTTAAACATGGATAATATTGTCCAACTTGTTTGAGTCTGATACTTAAGAGAGCGGTAACGCAATCCATAATCCCCAAAATACCACTGATAAGCGTTCAGCATTTTTACATGTACTGGGACCTTATGAACTAGGCAAAACTAGTGAATGTAATGAAGTGTATTTCTCTACTATGTAGTAAATTTACATTCACGGACCAAATTTACTGTGTATTTAAATTAACTGAGAAGAATCATGAGCTTTCAGGCCTTTAACACTGCAAATATGAAAGCATGCCCTGCGAGGTGAAGACTGATCAGTCACCTTGAACTAATCAGCGACTGAAAACTAGCCACGTGAATTAAAAGCCATGATAATTTACTATCAATCCCAAATAATTGGTAATCACTATGTTTGTATGACTAATTTACTAATGCATACATACACATATGTACAAAAATATTTCAGAACAAATACTCACCGTCTCCTGCCACGCATGGTAGTTGGAAATAAAGGAATAGTTTGTTCTCCATGACGAGACCACAGAATAGGCCCATCATTACTTTCTCGAGGGTCCATCCCACTTAAACTTGATAAGACACCCCATGGTGTTACAAGTTTTAGGAATGGGTCTTTTTCAATCATCTCAATGAGACTCTTGTCAAAAAACCCACGTTCCTCACCTTTAACACCAACAATACTCAATGCATGCAGTGGCCCAAACCGATAGATGCCGTTTGCGTAAGTTTTCTGAACGTTTTTTACATACTGTGAAAGAGATAAAGTTTCCGTTGCGTTTTTCTGTTCTAGGGGATTTGTCGAGACGTTGAGATTAGGATAGGCAGATGACAAATATGACAACAGTTCCGGCATCCTTCTCGCAGCTCCATGGACAACACCTATGCAGTAATGGGAAAAAGGAACACGGATGCCTCTTTTTCGTCTTTCGGTAAATAATATCTTGAAATATTTTCGAGCCAACAAAGCCAACTCATCCGCCGTAAGGTGAGCTAACTCATCAGCATAAGAATGCAAAGCATAACCACCACCATTTTCGTAGTGCTCAACGTGGATCATGTCGCATAAATGGCGCTTTGGAGAACGAGGTACTTTGAGATTACTTGAAAGACGAATGATGTGCGCCAAAGGGTCGTGGCGATTGGACGAAGTTACGACTGCATGACATGTACTATTGCTACTAGCGACATTATCTAATCCCGTCGCGAGACGTTTCTTGTTTTTTATTCTTTCCTTCGACTTGTTAGTAGACTCCCGATGTGACGCCAACTCTTGTGTTTTCATTTCAGCATACTACAATTTACGCGCCGATAGCGTAATCTTTAACTGCCCGCATACTGAAATTGATATGTGCTATCCAATATTGTCATGACGAGCTAGTAGAAGTCAGTGATTTCTTCATACTTGCGCCCTTCGGATCACCAAAACTCTTATACATTTTTTAATGTGCTGAAAAGTTCGGTTGCCTTTGTAATACTAAGACATTTGCAAAGTATATCATAATTTATGTTGCTATTATGAAGAGACGTTGTAATGATCTAAACGTAACTAAAATAAGAATAGTTCACATCACGGTTAGGTTGAATATGAGAGGTAGGTAGTTATGTAGTGTATGGTGACGTTTATTATTAATTGTGTAACGATATTCAACTTCGTTGGACTCGTTCAGCTTATCACTAATTGTTTACCCGATTTTTACGTGTATTTACATTTTTCGGTGAACTATCAATTGAATTACCGTTATTATTAAAAACACTATTATTATGATTATACATTATTTATATACATTAAAAACAACATTAAAAACAACATAAAAACAACATTAAGATCAACAAAAAACAACACAACACACACATACAAGAGAAACACTTTGTTCGTAAATATGTATACACGTATGGACTTTTTTTGATAACATCTGTTTATCCTTTTCGTTGTGTAATTTTCTTTTTCACAGATTGAAATCATGACTCGGTTGGAGCTAGACCACCATAGAAAACCTGGAAGCACTGGACGGCCTTTTCGTCCCAGTATGAGATTCCTCAGCTGTGCGCATCCACGAACCCGCGCCCGTGGGATTCGAACCCAGGACCCACTGGCTTCGCGCGCGAGCACTTGACCATTAGACCACTGAGCCGGCATCCAACGGTGTTAATGTCTAACTTCAATCAATCCATGAAGTTGTGCCACGCTGTTTGCGCAGTGGGCGAGGTCGTGGACGCGCACTGCTGATGAGTCCCATACTAGGACTAACCGGCCGTTCAGCGCTTCCAGGTTTTCCATGGTGGTCTAGCTTCAACCGACTCATGATTTCAATCTGTGAAAATTTCTAAAATCTCCACAAACCCCTTCTGATAATAATTTTCTTTTCCCTCCAAAGCATTTGGAGTTTTACGTCGAGCATACTTCCCATATCCCTAATCTGTAAGTGATGGAGGTAGACAATTGATTTCTTTGGGCTAATATGAGTCCCTCATACCTCCAGTAACTCGTTTCATCTTCAGTATATAAATGCATTACTTCGGCTCATCTATCTGGGATACATTTTATCTGCCTGAACATAATACTCAGCCATAAACGTCCCAGATAGTCGACATCGTCTACTGAAACTAAGTTCACTGGCTGATAATTCTCGTATTTTTTTAACTAACTGTGCCTGGAGTAAATTATATTCACATATTTTTGCAATCATCTTTTCCAGAATAAAAGGGATACCTATGCTATCTTCTATTTCCTGTCATGAAGGGAAGCTTAATAATCATGCGCTTTTTCAGATAAAAGTTATTCGTAAATCAGCAGTAATTTGTTTGGTGCGAGCAAGATCGGTCGTTCAATATCCTTCTTAAGTGGTTCAGAAACGTCTGTAACTATTGACTGCTTAATAACAATCTCAGGGTTCGCCCAACAATGCAAGTGGTCTATATGGACGGTTGAAATCTACTCGAGCTGGGTATAAATGATGTGACCTCATAACTTACGTCGAAGTGACAACTAGTGCTTAACACCTAACCTGAATTACGTTCCACCGGTATCTATGTCCTCTGGCTACCTTGACGACTGTATACGAAAAGCTTAAAATGACTGAATATGTGTATTGATAAGACCAGAAAAATACAAAGCAAAACTGTCGAACTTCAATTCACTCGTCGCCTTATAGAGATTTAGAGGACCTGAAGACGGTTACTGTGCTTGCTTATCAAACAATGCCTAGCACAACTGGGGCGTGACGTACTGGTTTAAACATACAAACCTTTCACCATCCAGTTCAGAATAATAAGAATGTAACACCCACACAAGATAGGAAGACAAATAAATAATGTTTTGATCCCAATAGTAGGTTATCGGCTAGCTCTAAGCCATCTTTAATTAGATTGCTATACAAACAACGCAGCATGGCCCAGTCCATTTCTTGCAATTGATTAATTCTTGTTATTCATCCTTGACCCCAACGACATTCGATGAACTTTTCAATTTTTAGTTATCTATCATGAAAGTGAGAAAGTTTTGATATAATAATTCATTTAACCAGGCTTCAACGACTGTCCACTAGCCCTAAAGAATGATTCACTTCAGTTTTTTATCCGAACTCCTACTAATATGTCTTACGCTACAGTGAGAACTTCTGAATTCTGAATTTTCATCACTTCTCCTCGTAATGCCTCCTCAGTGTGGGCAAACTGAGCTATTATCTAAAATGTAAGTCGTCCCAATGTGTATCGCTCAGAAATAAACACGCAGAAGTAAATATACATAATGTTTCCAACAATTCGACAGATCATATAACCTATACAGGCGAATGTAAAAGATGGGTTATTAGCTTCTGAACAAGGTGGTGGTATCACCACCATAATCTAAGAAAAACCAGTGAAGAAAAATTTATTGAATAAGAAACATCTATTCAACAGTCTTTGTGCTGTTGATTGGCCTCCAATTGTCCGAAATTATTAAAAACAACTAGCGTCCTACTCAAGTCTGTCATCCATCACAAAAGAACTGTGGGTTTTCGAGGTATGCTCAAAACTCACACCTCAAAATTTCACCAGAAGAGTTGACAAATCCTCACTAAATGTTGTTTTTTATTTCCACTGCACACCTTTCTTCGAGTTTCTGTGCACTGTCCTCATATTTTTCTTAGGTTCTCTTGAATGCCTTTTCCGCAGTGAATAGAGAAACTTGTAACGGTTCACAACTGCACAAACAGCACTACCAAGGTTCAATATAGCTTTCCTTCGAGATACTGACAATTTCAATGAATTCATGATAGTTCTCAACAACAGGTTGCAAGCCTTACAGCATCTACTGAAGGAAGAAGAAACTACTATGGAGGACAACCGGAAAGGTATCAAAGAAGCATTAACTTCAACGTGTCAGGAGGTTCTGGGCCACAACAAGCAACATCATAAGGAATGGTTCTCTATAGAAACACTGGACAAGATCAGAAAGAGGAAGAACAAGAAGACAACAATTACCAACAGCTGAACATGAACAGAGAAAGTCCAAGCAGAATCCGAGTATACAGAAGCACACAAGCAAGTGAAGAAGAGCATTAAAACCGACATGCAGAAATACGTGGAAGAACTAGTAAGGACGGCGAAAAAGCTGAAAGAGAGGGAACTATCAGCCAACTATATGACACTCCGCCTGGAATCCCTTTGGGGGCTACTGCCGGTCCCAAGCCCGGATAAAGGAGGAGGGTTGGGCATAGGGTTAGCGTCCCCATCCCGTAGAAAACTAACTCGCTAAAAAACGCTAACCAGAAAAAATTATTCAAACCTTTTAAACTCTGCCCTGGGAGAAGAATTATGACGCCTCATGATGAAAGCCGAATTCCTTCGGAAGTTACGAGGCCGATGCCCCTTCTGACAACCAGAGCGACCATTTATTTAGGTACATGGAATGTTCGTACAATGTGGGACACCGGGAGAGCCTTCCAAATTGCTGCAGAAATGAGTAAATACAACCTAGAGGTACTTGGGATCAGTGAAACACATTGGACACAAGTTGGACAACAACGACTAACTACAGGAGAGCTCCTGTTATACTCCGGCCATGAAGGAGAAAATGCACCACATACACAAGGAGTTGCATTGATGCTGTCCAAACAAGCACAAAATGCGCTTACAGGATGGGAATCTCATGGACCAAGGTTCATCAAAGCCTCGTTCAAAACAAAGAAAGAGGGTATTTCAATGAACATCATCCAATGTTATGCGCCTACCAACGACTACAATGAAGACGCTAAAGATCAATTCTACAATAGGCTGCAGTCAATCGTCGAGAAGTGCCCAACAAAGGGCCTGACCATTCTGATGGGAGATTTCAACGCCAAGGTTGGAACGGACAACACTGGATATGAAGACATCATGGGACGACACGGACTAGGAGAAAGAAACGAAAACGGTGAGAGATTTGCAAATCTATGTGCCTTTAATAGGCTGGTCATAGGCGGCACCATATTCCCACATAAACGCATACACAAAACCACATGGACTTCACCGGATCACTCTACACAAAACCAAATCAACCATATTTGCATCAACAAAACGTTCAGGAGGACTATAGAGGACGTGAGAACCAAGAGAGGAGCTGATACAGCATCAGATCATCACTTGCTGGTCGCCAAGATGGAATTGAAACTCAAGAAACACTGGACAACGGGGAGGACAATATCACAAAAGTTCAATACGGCCTTTCTTCAAGATACTGACAAACTCAACAAATTCAAGATATTCCTCAGCAATAAGTTCCAGGCCTTTCGTGATCTACCCAATGGAGAAGGAACTACTGTGGAGAGCAACTGGAAGGGGATCAAAGAGGCAATCACTTCAACATGTCATGAGGTCCTGGGTCACAAGAAGCACAATCACAAGGAATGGATCACTGTTGATACACTGGATAAGATTCAAGAAAGGAGGAACAAGAAGGCAGCAATCAATACCAGCCGAACAAGAGCAGAAAAAGCCAAGGCTCAAGTTGAATACACAGAAGCAAACAAACAAGTGAAGAGGAGCATCAGAACCGACAAACGTAAATATGTGGAAGATTTAGCAACGACGGCGGAAAAGGCTGCAAGAGAAGGAAACATGAGAGAACTGTATGACACGACAAAGAAACTCTCTGGAAATCGCCGCAAACCAGAACGACCAGTGAAAAGCAAGGAAGGCGAGGTAATCACCAACACTGAAAAACAGCGAAACAGGTGGGTAGAACACTTCAAAGAACTCTTGAATCGACCAGCTCCACTGAACCCACCCAACATCGAATCAGCACCCACGGACCTCCCAATC